AAAAGGACCAAAAAAAAAAAAAAGAAATATAATTTGATGTAAAGGAGGTGCTCTTTGCAAGTTTTAAGACTAAGCAGAAAGTCTATTCATTGAGCTTCACAATGGTCACAGCAGAATACTGAAACCCCACTTATGTGGGAGTCACATTTTGTGGGACTACCTACCTCAACAACCTCCTTCTAGGTATAAATTTGAAAAGTAAGCATTAATGAATATAGCCATCACAGATCAATGCAAAGCCCACAATGCCATCAGAGAAACACAGCGTGTTTTGGGAAGGAAAGGGGGAAAGCCTTTCAGAAACAAAAATAACTTTATAAATTATAAATGAATTAACATAGCCACTGAGCAGACAAGAAAGCTAAAATACATGCAATAAATAAAGTTCAAGCACTTCACTCAGAAAAATATATATACTCTTATTTTACACTGAGAACTTATTTCTACATTAGATATGGTTCCTACAAGTGTATTGTTTCCTACTCCAAGGAAGCAGAGAAGCAAATTAAAAGTTGGGGCATCTACAAGTCAGGATCATTGACAATGCACACTGACAGCACCCAGAAGCAGCAGCTAAGTTTGACGCAGGATAAGAAAACATTTTTAAAGAACAGATATAAGAACCCAAAAGACAAAGAAGGTTGGAGCCTTAAGTGTGGCAGTGAAACCCCTATGCATCAGTGGCCTCTAGGAACATCACAGTATTACACACGTGTGTGCACAATACAATGGATAAATTCCTTGTCATGAGACCTGTGTACTCGTTCTGCTGCTGAATAGCAAGCCATTCTGCCTCTTCTGAGCTCACCTTCACCTGTAAAATCAGGATAATACTTCTTTATCCTACCTACCAGACAGAAGTGTCAGGAAGAGCTGGAAAGAAATTTTATGTAAAACTGTAACACACTATATGATACATAACATTAAGAATATGTTAAAGTACGTTCTGCATATTCTGTTTAAGGCAAGGAAGTATGCAATATATTTAAATAAAATTCCATGTATATAGCTAAATAAAAAACAACACTTCTTTTAAGAGCAGAAAATTAACTTACATGGTACTATTATTTATCCCCTCCCCAAAAATGCCAGATTTTTTTAAAACTTAATTATTAGCAAGAGAAAGGACTTTAGAGCAAGAGAAAGATTTTAGCTGCTTTTTGGAAACCATATAGGATATATTGCATTTCTTCTGACAGCAAAGATATTTCAAAACGAGAAAAGATAAAATGTTTTTAAAATAAATACTCATACCTAAAAATATAAAAGAAAATATTTATCTACTACAGTTATAGAGTATTATTTTTTATACTGTAGGTCATAATCACTAGTGGATTATGAAGTCAGTTTAGTGAGTCACTACCAGCATTTTTTAAGCAAAAATGATAGAAAATATTAGTCCATTGTATTTAATACAGGTATTATTCCACAGAATTTTGTTCTACTTAACACGTATTAGTATCATGTATATATATACAGGAGTGCTGTAAATGCACTTCTTACATGGGGTATAGTCAAAAAGTCTGAAAGTCACTGATCAATAACATAAATCAAATCAATCAATCAATCAATAAGTAGGCATTTGGTTTGTGAGTGGCAGGAAAGGGCTAACAGAAAGAATTTAAAAACAGCTAGCACTCAGAGTGACCAGGAGATAGGTAAAGAAATCACAGCTGGGAGCAGGCTGATGGAAAAGAGAGCAGTGGGTTTTTTTTTTTTTTTAAAGTCATCAGACAGTAGTCCTTAAAGTAGGAAAAAGGTAACAGGCTTCCTTCTAGTAATAAAAAAGGCAAATTATAGGGAGGCAGATGGTTAAGAAAAACGCTGTACTGGAACTGAAGAGAATCTGCCCCTAACAAACCCTCTAAGTTTAGTCCTCAATTTCCTCATCTGTAAAATGAGAGGATTAGACTACAAAATAAATATTAAGATCCTATCCAACCTTAACACTTTCTGATTCTGATGGAGTTTATAATAAAGTCACGACATGAGTACTTGGTTTATAATTAAGAGCGTTTGTTTTTAATAATTAAAAGTGTACCTTTTAATAAGAAAATTATATATCATAATAAATAACAGGTTTTTATATAAAGATCAAGGCTTGATGGCTAATGTCATATTTCTGCATTTCTCAGTTTTCCCTACCTAAAAAATCTAGTTGGCTGGCTAAAAATTACCCTTAAACAGCATGTTACTATTCACCTGGTGGCAACCATGAAAAGCATATGGAAGGTGTCTTGAGACAGGTATATAACTTCTATATAGCTTTCTTGGTACCGTGGCCCATTTAAAAGTAATATATATATTATAATAACCATATAATATATATATTATAATAACATTGTTAAACCAACTCAATCAGTAATAAGTGTTTTATAAACTAAATGATTAGATGATCCTAAAATTTCCTTCTGTCTCTTTCCATTAGTAGGATCAACCATTTCAGCTGAATCACTTATTTTCTAGATGAAGTTATCAATTGCTTCCTTAATGTTTTCCTATTATTGCATCAATGTCCTTGTCTGGTCTTGGCTGCTTGCCCCAGTCTATGTGCACCTTAGCCTGCTGGTAAGAGCCTGCATGTCCTTTACTCTTGGTAAGCCCCTTCCCTAGACTCTGCCCACTTCCTTATGCTTAGAGCCCACATATGTAAGAATAGTGGCTGCAAATTCTCAGATAAAAAGACATGCAAAAAATTAATTCACGGGCCAACCTCATGGCTCACTCGGAAGAGTGCGGCGCTGGGAGCGCAGCGGCACTCCCGCTGCGGGTTCGGATCCTATATAGGGATGGCCAGTGCGCTCACTGGCTGAGCGGGTGCGAGTGACACCAAGCCAAGGGTTGCAATCCCCTTACCAGTCACACACAAAAAATAATTAATTTACTACATACAAAAGAATTCCTCTTATTGGTAATAGGCTATATATTACATTATGAGGAGGTGTTCACATAGATGTTGTTATTTGGAGCCACCTGAAACTAGAATCTGTTTCATTTCTAAGCAAAAGATCTCTTTCAATTTAGGCATAAAAAAATGATAGAGAAATGTATAAAATAGTGCCAAATAGAAGTACTGTCAAAGGAATAAAAACAGACCAACAGATCAAGCCAATCAATCACTGACAGCTATTTTGACTCTGAACACTACTATAAAACAGTCCTAAGGAAAAATACTGAAAAGAACTAAATACCTGCAAAAATACACACACACACACTCTATGGTGTTTCATCATGCCATATCATTAGTACAAAATGAGAGGAAGAAACAGCATAATATCTATTATCTGTTCTCTCTGTAAGTCCATATTGCTCACCATTTCTCTTTTGTTCTACAGGCCAATATCTGCTTTGGAAAATATGTTCTCCCAAATCAAACCACTCTGATTGAAATGGACAAACACAGGTCAATCCAAGTGACCAATGTGCAGAAACAGAATAAATTTAGGTTTTACTGAACTCACTTTTTACTGAGTTTGCTTGTCTTCTGCCAATTAATTTTACCAACTGTCATCCAAATAGCTTATTTTGTATCATAACACTGAAAATGAAATGATGCTGATTTGTAAAACTCATTTTGGGCATTAATGCTAATTAGACCGTATTACTACTGTTCAGTGAAAGGCTCAAATATGCATTTAAGGGCTGAATAAAATATGAAACTGGAAAGTGTACACCAAAAACACGTACGAGTGAGGAGGAAAGCAAAATCTCTATAAAATAAGTGTTTTAAAATATGCACTAAGAGGGCCGGCCCACAGCTCACTTGGTAGAGTGTGGTGCTGATAACACCAAGGCCAAGGGTTCGGATCCCTACCTAGGGATGGCCGGTTAGCTCACTTGGGAGAGCATGGTGCTGACAACACCAAGTCAAGGGTTAAGATCCCCTTACCAGTCATCTTCAAAAAAAAATAAAAATTCAGGGGCCGGCCCGGTGGCGCACTGCTATAGTGCGCCACTTGAGAAGCGTGGCGGCGCTCCCGCCGAGGGTTCGGATCCCACATACAGACCGGTTCCCGCTCACTGGCTGAGCGAGGCGCGGGAGCAATGCCGAGGGTTGCGATCCCGTTGCTGGTCCCGGTCCGGTACGGGGGCGACACTGAAGGTTGCGATCCGTTGCCGGACACGGAAAAAGACAAAAAAATAAATAAATAAAAAATAAATAAAAATTCACTAGGGAGAAACTGAGGAGGTAAAAAAGATCCATTTGTGCTATCAGGTCCTAAAGTCAGCTTTTAAGCTTAGAATCAAATATGCAAAAAGCAAGCATCATAGGAAAATGAAAGAATGAGACTGGGAATAAACAAACAGTATATGATAAGAGGAAAAATCAAACATGACCATGCTGATAAATGTCTGTATTATTACTGTTTTACCAAAGAACACCATTTCTCACAGAAAGTGAATGGGAAATCGGACAAACAATGCTGTCAGCTACAAAGCCCACCTTCATAAATGCTGAACATGAGTAAGAAAAACAACATAATGTCAGCCTGTACAAATGTAACTTCTAGAAATAATTTTTAGTTATATAAAATATTTACTTGCTATTTCTAAAATTTTGAAACAGTTTTGGATTTTTCTAAAAATACTCTAAAATACATGAGAAGTTTTTATGTAAAATTGCAAGTTAATAAGAAACTTTACTGTAGATACTAATTGAAAGTATAACAGTAGGATAATTCAGAATCACATTTTGATGAATAAAATTAGCACTTGATATAAAACATACAAAAGTATCAATGAAAATGAAGAAAAGGCATAGGTAAAACCAAAAGAACTATAAATGAATTCTCATTCTAAAACATAACACTTAAATTGATTTAAATAGCCATAGTGTCATATCAACTTAAGGGAAAAGTCAATAGACTAGCATTAAACAAAAAGATATAGAAAGCATACACAAAATATACAGAACCAGGTAAATGACAACTTTCTACAATTTAATCATGCTGATGATTTAACCTTTAAATAAGTTTATCCCTTTCCCTCGATCAACTCACCCAACATTTTCTGCATCTTCATCACACTCAGCTTTATATTTGCAAGGTCCACATTTGGAGTGTTTCCTGTGAACTTCTGCCCCTGACCCTTCCTCTTCTGTTTAAAAAGAAAAATTAAACTTTCAACAAAAAGTTGGCATCCTTCCCAGATATGCTTTATGTTTTCATTTGTCATTATCCTGTTTCTGGGGAAAACGTACACAAGCTCTTGAAAATAGACAAAATTCTAAAATCTATCAATGTTTGGGTCTAAAAATGTTACTAATACAAGGGTACTTTGAAAAATCCATGAAAAAACAGAATTAAAAGATAATACAAAGCTCTCCATGAAGTTACTGAAGTAGCCTTGTAGTGAGTACAACAATATCCCATGAGGAAAAACAATTATCGATGCTAGCAAAATAATCCCTTACACTATGTACACAGAAATAAGTAAGTTGGTTTGACAACAAATTGCTTTTGAAAGAATTACCATGTAACACTGAATAGGATTGAGGAAAAAAACATGAGCAATAAATTTAGTCCTATGATTATCATCCTACTGAAATAAGTCTGAGCAATGCTGGTTAGCAGATAAAAGCTTGAACACAGTACAACCTGACTCTCACTTTTCCTCACATCGGTTTCACACCTGCCTTTCTAATCACATAAAAAAGTAATTCCAGAGTTAAAAGAAACATTTATCTCCAAATTTTAAGAATGAAAGAGGTCTCTTTAGAATGGACATTTCCCCTTTTCCTACTTGGCCACTTCACACAGCCAAAAATACCCAGAAGCTGAAGTATGTGGGTCTCCTATGACCCAGCACAAAGAAACAGTGAATATCACCAGCCCCCTACTCAGCTCATATCCCACAAAAGGGGCCCTACATTTTTTGGGTCTCAACTACAATGGATCCTATCCTGATAAGGTCAAAATGGGCAGAGAAATCAGTTGGGGTGAACTTAAGGATTTCAGTTTATTCAAGGGATTGCTCAACTTGGTTTGGGAAAGAATACTGTCCAGGAAGTGTCAATCAGTAAAGGTTTTAAAAGGAAAGTATACAGATCTATCATGACTGGTTGGTAAGACTTCTAAATTTCCAATTTTTGGTGTCTGTCTGCGCTTTAAGTAGAAATCCTCCCCAAACTCTCATGAATACTCCCAAACAGATTCCAGGGATCATAATCCTAAGTAATTCTGCGGCTTCAGAATCATGAGATCCAGAAATACTACAGCCTCCATGAGCTCACTAAGGTTTGTACATTAATCTGAGCAAACCACTAAGCCTTTCTAACTCATGCTCCCTAAAATATGGTCAAGCAACATCCTCAGGGCAAGTCATCCAGTACCGTATTATTAAGCAAATCTTGAGATCAACTCTCACGTGTTTAATATAGGAAAAATGATAGTTCCCTAAAACTGAATATCTGACCACAGGAGCTAGACCACATGATCTCTTAAAATCCTTTCCAGCTCTAAGATCTAGAATGTATTATCTGATCCTTCACACATGATTATGAAGCTTCTGCTTGAACATGTCCATTTAAATCAAATTCTATTGTTCAACAGCTTTAATCTTTTTTTTTTTCCTAGCGAAAACTGTCATCCTTGAACCTCTTCCTCAGGACAGTTCTTCTATTCTCTATGTAATCTTCAAAGTCCCTTCCGACTCTGAAACTTAAGGATTCTTTGAAATTTAGAAGTCTAAAGTTACAGATCATATTGAAAAGATCGTAACTGTAGTTTTCACTTGCATAAGTATGAACTTTTCCAGAGTGAGTGTTCTTTTAGTATATACCCATAGCACCTCAAACATTATTTTGCATACAGTGGATACTCATTAAGAATTACAGACTCAGACTATGAAACAGATTAGTCATTCTCAGTTCTGATAATTTAAACCCTATTATACACTATTGCCAAATATTAGTTTTTTTAACATCAGAAATAATTCATATATTTGCAAAATAAAATCAAGAACATAGGAAATTTTTAAAGATTGAAATTAGACTCTAAATCCCACTACAGTTGTTCTGCAAGTCTTCCCTTTTCTATGCACAACTCGCTTTGGAGTTTTTTAACTCTGTACCTCAAAAATTCTTTATGAGCAAAAATTTGAGAGAGTTACAAAACACTCTGGTCCAAGCTAAAATCACTTGTGGGGGTGATACTAAGGAGAAGTCACTTTGTTGTCACCTCAATTTAACAGGAGCTTGGAGTACGGAGATGGATAAATGGTGCATAGTTTATTTCTGGGGTAACAGAAATGTTCTAAAATTGATTGTGGTGATGAATACACAACTGTGTGATTATACTAAGAGTCATTGAATTGCACACTTTAAATGGACAAATCATATGTGAATTTTATCTCAAATCTATTTTAAAAAAAAGTAAAAGGAAACAAAGTCCTTTAAGAGGTATTTGAAACTTACCTCCTTCTCCAGATCCAGAGCCGTTATCTGGGAAGAAAAGCCAAGAAGGATTAATAACATTTTTTCTGGAAATTTCATCTTATCAAATAGTCACATTTCTTGTCAAAAATAAAACTGTGATATCCATTCTTATACAGTCCTTTTCTCCATATTTTAATATCTTATTCAAAGACTATACCTATTTTATGCCTCTCTCAAAATATAAATTACTTAAATATATAATCATCCATATTTCATACATCTTTGTAGCCCATTCAGGAAATATTTAGGTGCCTTACAGAGTAAAAACCAATAATAGTATAAAGTAAATGGTTAAATATAAATAATTAATTTTAAATCACTCATTTAAAAGGTAGAAGAAAATTTTGTTAAAGCTTGAGAGGAATAATGAATAAGCTGCTTTTATTAGAAAAGAAGGAAAAGACATTTGGGTCTTATTCCAGAAATCTTCTTAATGAAATCTGTGGATAAAGACCAAAAGCCAAAAGGTAAGAAAAGCCCTAAGGTTTAGAAAGGAAAGAACCTCAGAGTTGAGGTTTTCTATTACTGATGAAATTAACTTCCTCTAGAAAATCTAATCAGAAAGAATCTCACCTGAATTGTTACTAGTAAAATCAAAGAGTCTCCCTCAAATTTACTGGAAGAAGCCAGCCTAAAATGTAATTAATGTAAAAAATTTACTTTATAATCCTGAAAGAACCAACGTATAGAACAGATCACATTGAAAACAGAGTAATGCGGGCCAAGCCCGTGGCGCACTTGGGAGAGTGCAGCGCTGGGAGCGCAGCAGCGCTCCCGCCTCGGGTTCGGATCCTATATAGGGATGACCGGTGCGCTCACAGCGCTCACTGGCTGAGCGCGGTGCGGCCGGTCTCAAAATGGACAAAAAAAAAAAAAAAAAGAAAACAGTAATGCTATAGCATCATCAGCATGGAATCGTAAAAAAAAGCAGAGATGGCAAGTGTAGAATTTGACACTTTATCTTCAGCAACTTCCAAGGGGGAGGATACCCTAAGCCATACAGAAGCCATTCCAGTTCTTCAAACAGTTCTCTGGAGTAGAAGACGAGCATCATCAGCATGGAATCGTAAAAAAAAGCAGAGATGGCAAGTGTAGAATTTGACACTTTTTATCTTCAGCAACTTCCAAGGGGGAGGATACCCTAAGCCATACAGAAGCCATTCCAGTTCTTCAAACAGTTCTCTGGAGTAGAAGACAACACCCAGAACAATACTGCTTCCTTCCCTGCAAGCTCCTTCAGACAATAATCAAGTTCCCAGATAGGGTAGAAACAGGAAGAGTTTTAAAAATACATACTATATGTAGTATCAATTACAAAATCTTCATGGGACTTTATTTTAAAGTCTTAAATTGTGTTCAGTTTTGATTAATCAACCATAATATGAAATCTTCTCTGAGTAAGTAAGGAGGAAAAGAAAGAGTAAAGGAACAGAAAATAGAGGAGGAAGGAAACGCGATTTAAAACTGTTTTTATGACCAAACCTTTTTAGAAAAACACTCCCTTCTTACTTCTATTCCACATACATTGATTGGGTACACATTATCTGCCAGGCATGATGGTAAATGCTAACAGTAAAATGATAAACAAGACACATTCCCAGTGCATGAGATATTTACTCACTCCCAACCTTTTTTTCAACCCACATCTAATTTTAATAAACATAAAAATCTCATACCTTCCTTTGTCATTTAGAATTCCTAAGTAAATTAAATACTGTAACTACTCTGATAACAAGATAGAGTTCTTCTTGTAGATTATATTTTGTAGACTGTACACATGCCTTCCACAGTCCACACGACTCCACCCCAGCCCTGAGATGATGATACACCTTCCTAGGCAGGACACACTGCCTTCAGAAATGAATGATCTGGCTGGAAGCAGATATGTCAGATAAATGAAAAACAGTATGGTATATGCATAGAGAAACACACAAGGTGTGAACATACTCAGCTAGGAGATTTCAGTGAGATTCACAGAAGAAAGATTTCACTGAGGAGAAAAGGCTTATGCTCAATCCTAAAGCATAAGAAAGGAGTTTTCAAGTAAGCATAAGAGAATAATATTTCTAGCTCATGGAATAGAACGCTTAAAAGACCAAATGGGGCTGGCCCTGTGGCTCACTCGGGAGAGTGCGGCGCTGGTAGCACTGAGGCCACGGGTTCAGATCCCATATAGGGATGGCCAGTGTACTCACTGGCTGAGTGTGGTGCAGGCCATACCATGCCTAGGGTTACAATCCCCTTACCGGTCAAAAAATAAAATAAATTAAATTAAATAAATAAAATAAAAAAATAAAAGACCAAGTGACATAAAAACACTGGCCCACTTAGCAAATAACAAAATTGATATAGCACTTTATACCCTAGCTCATTCAATCCTTATTTAACAACCCCAAGAAATGATATCTGTCTAACAGTTTAGGGAATTAGGACTCAGACAGGCTAAATGACTTGTCCAAGGTCACACAGTAAAGACTTAAAGTTATTTCAATGCCAGGTCTTTTAACCCTAGTGTGGTGCTCTTCCCCATCTACGATTCTGCCTCCTAATGTGTAACATTCACTGCCTATCAAAGTGCTTGGTGTCTTAAACACATGCTCCTCATAAATGAGGCATAACTACTTAGGGATTGGAAAAAATTCCATATTCCTCTTTAGTTTCGAGATCAAATCTGTGAAACACAATGTACTTATAGAAGTGTATAAGAACCACAAATCTGTGAAACACAATGTACTTAGAGAAGTGTATAAGAACCACAAAATGACAGTCTACTAGCCTAAAAACATAAAAAATTTCTCCAAGCACCTAATTATGTTGGGTATAGTAAAGAATTTAGCCTCACCCAAAAAAGAGGTCTCGTCTTTGCCCTTGGCTGCTGGATGGTAATCTGTGTCATACCTGATAGGAGCATCTTTGTTAAGGGAGGATGCTGACCACATCAGAACATATAGGGGGTTGGGGGCATGAATATTAATAGTCTAATTCACATTCATGAATGCAATACCATGGTATTATGACATACTGCTACTAGTGAATAGTTTGTTCTTTTACTTGGATTAAAAAAAGGAAGAATTATGCTATTTCTTCATACCCTATTCCACATTTATAATGAAAATAACTACCAACTATCCATAAAAATAAGAATGGAAATCCCCACGCTATCTACTTCATTTGCTTGCTATGAAAACCCATTGAGATAATAAAAGGAAATTCTTGACAATGTTTGTAAAGAGCACTACTTATGTAATGTCATTTTATTATTATCAAAGTTCATTTACTAAACACCTCTAGTAGGCAAAGTCTCACCATCAATGCTATAGAAGACACAAAGAAATATAATCTCTGTTCTCCGAGACCTTACAATCTTGCTGGAGAGCCATACGAACAGAAAAAATTATATATATTACAAAGCCAGATAATGTACCAAATAAACATTTAGGCAATAAGTATAATACCTTATACTTATTATTATAAGCTAGAGTATTTAAGAAAAGCCCCCTTGGAGAAAGTGGAATATGAACTGAGCCTTGAAGGATGAGTAGAAATAAGACAGATGAAGAAAAAAAAAAAGGTGATACAGGTTTGAGAAATGATACTGGTCCTGAGTGTTTAGAAACCTCTAAAACTTCTACATGACAAAAATATAATAAATGACTAAAGTTTTAAAATCTGAGAAAAAAAAAAAGGTGATACAGGTTTGAGAAATGATACTGGTCCTGAGTGTTTAGAAACCTTTAAAACTTCTACATGACAAAAATATAATAAATGACTAAAGTTTTAAAATCTGAAAAAAATAGGCCAGTTAGCTCAGTTGGTTAGAGCACAGTGTTATACTACCAAGGTCACAGGTTCAGATCCCCACACCCGCTAGCCAATAAAAAAAAAAGAAAAAAATAAATGAGAAAGATATTATAGTAATATGAAGCAAAGATACAAAATATTTACAGAAAAACTTCAAACATCCAATTAATGTATAAAATATGATTGATCTTCACTAGCAAGTAGCGTTTCACACTAAAATGAGATGCTATTTTTAACTTATAAAATTGGCTACAAAAATCAATTAGGTGGGCATCCCAACACACCATGAAAATGTGAACTGGTTCAATTTTGGAGAACATCATTTAACAATATGTTTTGAAAGTCCTAAAAAAGGAATGCAACTTTTGATCTAGAATTACACATACAGAAATCCATCTGAAGGAAACTTGAAGACTAATGTTTATTATAGCCATTTCAAACAAAAACTTATATTGATAACTTAGAATACTAAATATCCAACAAGACAATGCTTAATTAAAACATGTTATATCTGTTCAAGGAATTAACAATGCAGTTATTAAGAATTGCCTTTTAAAAGAATACTATGTAACAGGAAAAGCTAACAATGTTAGGTGAAAAGCACATATATAACTTGTGAATGTTGTGCCATTTTTAAATGTATTACCCATTCCACAACTGAATGAAAAATTTTAAATATGACAATATAAAATAAAATATAGCAAGAAAATAAATCACATTTACATCCCAATTTAGATAAAAATGAATATGCATACAATGAATACTGGAAGAAAAGATCAATAAATTTTTCACATTACTTGTCTTCATGGTTTTTTATTTCCATATTTATGATTTTCTGTATTTCTCAAGTTTTCTGCAAGGAACAAGATTTAGTTTTATCATTTATCCACTTTTTAAAAAGTGGTCAGATTTACTTTATGAAGCACAATATGACATGCTACTGGTTAAAATAACTAACTAATAATATATTTTATAACCAAGTTAATTTCACTATACATTAAGTATCAGCAGAATCTTATATGAACTTTTATTAAAATTAAAATTTTATTTTAAGAAGCCTTTCTATATTCCTCTAATTGTTCATGGATCACACTCCTTTATCCTCTTTCCCTAAAATTTACATAACTAGTATGATGTCTGCATAAGTCAATGTTACTTTGTAATTACATAATACATAATCAGCAAAAGAGACCATGAGCTCCAAGATGTCAAGTGCTATGTCTACAAATTTTCCAACCTAATTTCTCCCTAACACACTTAATAACTTTCTACTATAGTGTTTTCAAAGGTGCCAATATTGCCCCCTAGCTTACAAGTACCACACAATTCTGAATGTCTCTCTGGCCATTCATGTAGGAACTATGGCAAGACTTACCATATACAAATAAGTCTGGTCTGTTACAGCTTATCATGATATTGGTTTTTATTCTAGCATCCACCATACCTCTACTTTTTGTTTTTGTGTACTGGTATGAAATTGTTTCCAATTTTTTTTAAATACAAACATCCACTATAAGTAAATATAAGCATCTGACTAACGCATTATCTTTTAGCATAAGCATTTACACTCTGAAATATTTATTTTATTATAAATTACTTTTATTTGTTTTCATGGCAATTATGCATTATATTCATTTCTTTAATTATGTATTTATATGGGTTACATTATCTACAAATTTCATTTAAAGATAGCAAAGAAATGGGATATAAATTAACAGTTATTAAAAAGGAACATTAAGTCTGATAGGGCTAAGAATCTTAACATTTATTAAAGAGTTTCTATCTAGTAAGCACTAGATACAACTTTAAATGTACTAACTAATTCATATA